CAGACACACACACACACACAGGGTCAGTGTTACCCAGAGGAAGCCTCACATCATGGACCAGCAGTGGCATCGTGTAATGAAGTACCTCATCAAAGAGGAACTGCTTAATAACTGAAGCACTGAATGTACTGAAAGCCTGAACTGGTGATATAACATTCAGTATACTATACAGGGGATTGATTAACCCCCGACCTCCAGTCCACACATGGAGTATATAAGTGGGTCTGTCAGAACTGATCATTCATCCCACACTTTGTGTTTGAAGCAGTTTATTAACACATTTTATGTCCACCTGAGCTAAAGTGAGGCAACCTGACAAATACTTTTGTCACCACACAATTACAGCAGGAGCGCTCCAGTGAAACGAGTATGTGGGAAATAACACACATACCACAGATTAGGAACATTAACTGACAACGATTTCAATAACCAAGTCATCGTTTCAGTCACATATCAAGCAAACGTTATCTCGCTGCAGCTACTGACACTTTGAGGATTTTCTGTTTTTCTCTGATAGAATTATAAATTGAATAAATGAAGGTTTACATTTTTCTGGCCACAAAACAACTTATCTGAGTATTTAATCTAAAACGATGTTCAATAGAGTCATTGATGAAAAGAAAATAACTGCTGTTGCAGCACTACACTGATTACAAATCAGAGGGCCTCTAAAGACGACATTAACGTCTTACAAACGAGGGGCCACCAAAGCTGACACTAATTTCATTTCCAAGTAAAGGATACGTAGACAGATCAGTCAGTCAAACTATTACATTTAACCACCATGAACCAAACAGAGCCTTGGGAGTTTTGCGTAGTTTAAATACCTCTTCCGAGGTCAAATCCATGCGCGTACCAGCATGCATATTTGCATGTTAAAGATCAGTAAAATCTGTCATTAGTTAGCTTTGGCGTGTCGCCGTAACCCCCACGTCCCCGAGCAAAGCCACTCTCTATTCAACCCACACAATACACGAGCGCATGCCAAGTCATGAGACTCATTCACTATCTACACATTTAATCTCCCCCATTGTCACCCACACAAGGGAGACCAGAGGTTGGCCTCTAGAAACACACGACACTTGAAGGTACGACGTGTTTTCTGCTTATTTTCACTCATCAGCTGAGAAAGCTTTGAAAATCTGTGAGCAGTGAAAATGTTAAAGGTTTGCGGTTCGCTACCGGCCTGACACCATCGCACGGCGGATGTTCTTCATCGCCGCCACGTCCTGTTGTGTTAAAATAGAAGCTATTTGATTATCAGAGACATGGATCTGTGTCTCCTGGAGGGATCAACAGAGTAACCATTACACACACAGATCACCGATACGCTCACCCACTGCTCCAGCTCAAGATAATAATTGACAATTTACACACTCTGAACGAGGATTAACAATTAACCACTTATTCGGGGTGTGGAGTAAATGTTTGATGCTGGATTGTCACTGCCAGAGACGCTCTGCTAATGTTTACTACACAGGAAGGACGCAAGCTCATATATTAGGCACATAAATAAGGATATAAAAGGCATTTCTGTTGAATGTGTGTCAATTACTCAGAGCTAAAATCACTTTCCACCTCCGCTACAATAATCACAGGTTGATCTTAAAGCTGCTTGTCCACGTTCAGAGGACACAAAGCACAAGGAAAATTCAAATGGCTGTTATTTAAGACATGAAAATGCCGACTTCATCCTGCGTGTTACACCTGTCCTCAGCTGAAAACGACAACAAAACGGAGAAATTGAAAAGCAGAGCAAACACCTACGGTTATATTTGGCTACTAGCCACTTAGTGTTTCCCCTAGATTAATGCCACAGAAACGTATCTACTGATTCACCAGCAGTGGGCCTTGAGAGCAACATAAGTGCCTCATCTAAAACTAATAGCACATTTATCCTGACAGAGCAATTTTATTATAAAAGAGACTGTGCGCACAGTCTGCCCTTGCCCTAGTTTCTACCACTTGTGTATCACCATTGGATATGAACCACAGTGCTAGGCATCTTCTTTCTGGAAAATAAATAATAATAAAAAGAAGATTTAACCACTGTTTTTTGTAGGAATGTCCAAAAAAAAATACATTTTATCTGCAACAACACAAATCTGTTTCTCAAGTTTTAACCAAAAAGGTTGTAGGAGACTTTGAGGAGTCTGGAAATACCTTAAAAACCGTGGTAAATATTATTTAACGATCTTCTGAGTTTGGCAGAGATTGTTTATCCTTGCTTTGTCTATGCTCAGCTCTGTGACTTCAATTCAATGATAATACACGAGGGGTGTAAACTGGAGCTACAGATTACATATAATTAAAACTGAAACCATAAAAAGGAGCCTAAAGAAACCAATAAGTCCCACCTAATCCTGAAACAATCAACTGATCAATCATCAGCCCGAAAACAAGAAATACTAGTCTTGGTCTAAACAGAGTGAAGAAAGACACCAAATATCTGCTACAGCTTTGCTTTATCTGACAGTTTTACCATATTAATCTTCTGTACCAGTAGAAATGTCAGTGTTTCGACTTAAAGAGCAGTGGTTTTGCCTCCAGAGAGTGATGATTCACTCTGACCTCTAACTTAGTAACTTGCGATGTGCATTTGTCACTCCGGAAACACTTGTCAGTTGTCTGGATACCGCCACAATCCTCCGATAACTGCTTTTTTATAACGTTTTATAACGTTTAGCCAAATCTGACGAGGGCAACACCTGATTCAACCTTACCTGTCAGTTCTACCAAGATAAACTGGGTTGCAGGTTAACCTTTATCGTGAGGCTTACAGAAAAGAGTTTACGTATTTTTCACCCCTTTTTCAGAAATGGCTGTTAAATTAGAGGCAGGTGAGACGGTTTAACGGTTAGGTTAGGAAATATATGTGTGTGTGTGTGAGCTGCTTGAGACTGGCCTGGTTAGTGAAGCCGAGCTGCGTTGCTCCGGTTCAGGCCTTGTGGAAGCTAACTGACACACTGCAGCAGTCAGCTGGCTCACACTAACACACCAATTACCATGTCACCTCTTTTCTCTTCTTTTTAAATGTAAAATAAAAACTGTACGTTTTCAAGGTGATTTTGCGACCGTTAACGCCGCTCTCACCAACCGCTAACAGTCGGAGGAGGTGGGGGGGTTCTCAGCACATCGTTAACGGCAGGAGGGGGTCGTTCTAAAAACCAACCGGCACTGACAACGTCACTGGGGCTCGTGTAACGATCGGTAAACACGTTTAAACGTTAACGGCTCTCACACTCAACGCTCCAACGAACGAAACAACCGCCTTCCCGCTGGTCGTCAAGACTACACACGGAAATAAACAGTGTCATTCATTTTTACCTCGCCGTTGCTCGCGGTAGCTTTGGTTGCTTCGCTCTCCTGCGTCGCCATCTTTCCTTGTCTCTATCGCGCACACACACACACACACACTGCTGGCTGGGAAACTGCGCGTCTTCTCGCGAGATCTCAGTTGTAGCCTCGTTGGAGTGACGTGGGTCTTCAGGGGAGAGGATGATAAGAGGTTATTTGTTTTAATGGGCTTTTTGTTTGTTTGAAGAGTGAGATTTCAGCTGGAAAATAATTTTATTTCATTAATCTCATAATTCTTGCAAAGTTTTACATCCACAAAATGTAAATTTGCCAAAGTGAAACCTTTTTTTTGTGTTTTTATGAAAGAACTGGAGTTGTATTTCAAGTCAATATATTTTGCTAAGAACAAGAAAGCTATCAAAACTGTGAGACTGTGCTCCCACTTCGATATCTTTAATTAAATTAAATTTTTCTTTGCTCATGACCCCTGGCATGTTTTTATTTATTTTTGTTTGTGTATTTATTTTCTGTGTCATTTATTTGTTTTTCAATTATTGTTATTGTAATGTCAACCCTTTTGTTTCTATCATTACTGCACTGCTACTATGTATGTTTTGAAAATAAGTGATAAATAAAGCTGTTTAAATAAAAAAAATAATTAAAAAAAATAAAAAATTTGGAAGCCTCGAGTTCC